GCTGTAGTTGCCCCTGCTTTGATCAGGGCAGTTTGACTGGATGGTCTCAAGAGGTCCCTTCCAACCTCCACGTCCCTGTGATTCTGGGAGTTGGAGGTTTTTCAGAATAGGGTGTTCACTCAGACATCTCTGCTAATTAGTCAACGGGTGAATTGTTACATGGGCATGAATTTCATCCCGAGCTCTTGTGGATTGACACATGACATGGAAAATTAGTGATGTTTCTGATCATCACCACATAGTTTTATATATACAAGCATATACATTGGTTACATGTATATATAATATGATAATATAATTTCAATAAATGCTTGAAGATAATATAGGGACTTGAATTTGAAAGTCTTCTGCACTGTAACTGTACTCTGCGGTCTTTTTTGTTACTGGACACACTGGCCACAACTTCATATGTACCTGGACCTATAATGCTGGGCTGTAATGTAATAGTGTTGAAGCAGTTTGCTTCAACGATTTTTTAATTAGTTCTGTGTTAGTGACTTTCATAGATACGCAGCTTGTTCTCTCAGGCAGGCTCTTTTCTGTTACTTTACCTTTATGCTAAAGTTGTAATTTAGTTACAAGCTCAGGCACAGACCAGCTCTTTAGCATGGTTTAGAGGGATTTATACTTACAGCTTAACGAATGTTGAGGATTTCTGAGTGCCAATTTTGTCTGCAGCCCACTGATTAACTGACTTCTAGATAGCCAGAGAAAACTATCTTGGGGATTTCATACTTCAATAAAGTAAAGGGAAAAAATAACCCTTTTAAATCCTGGCATATTTGTTATATAGGAATGGTGGATAAATATGACCATATTAATAAAAAATTATAGTTCTCTGCCTTGAAAAGTAATTTAGACTTTGAGACAGCTGTTTCATTTAGAACATTCATGCACTCAGAGGCAGAACTGAGAGCGAAGAGTAGTAGAGAATTATCACTGTAATCTGCAGAAGAGTTTCTTAGGTTTCGTGTACTTTACAGGAGGGTTGTGGATCATCTTCAGTGTAAATCATTATGGCTAAATGGACACAGTATCTTGCCATGTTGAACTTGAGTTTCAGGAAAGATTTCAGCTTTGTTCTGCCTGTTGGAAGAGAAATTAAAGTAAATGTTTCGAACTCTCAGTTTAAATGCAAGGGGATTTTTAAACATATTTTTCTATCTAGGTATACAGACCAATAGAGTTTAGTGTTGCTATTTGGGAAGCTGCTGCAGAGATCATGTACTTAAGTGCTATCAGTCAGCAATGGTTGATTGATACAGAAAACATCAGCACTTTCTTTCATAGTTACCCTTCGTATTTATCCTGTCCCTCAAGTAAATTAAAAAGTTAAGATGTAGGAAGAAGTTCTAAAAGTTTTCAAAGCTAGTGATTGCTTACTGCAGATGTACAGCTATCATTGAGTGTGTATGGAAAGTTGCGTAGAAAATGGCTGTATGCTTCCTTCTCTCACACTTGAGAAGTATCACTAGTGTCTGTAGGCAATTAATGTGTTTTGTCAGCTACTACTTTAATTAGTTTTGTGGCTTTAAATTCAAAAGGCATGCTTTAAATAATAACACTTATTTATTCCTGTGTGCTCTTTGAAAGAAGCAAAATTATTGAACAGCATTCACAGTCAAACGTGACACGATTAGACACAACAGATTCAGTAAATCTTAATGTTCCAACTCCCCCAAATAACAAATTTGTAGGCCTGCCAATTGGGCTGTATTAGTTTCCTGGAACAGAACAAGGTGCATGGGAAAGGGCTGGCTGCTTTATTTTATTTTGTTTTTTTTTCTAGAGAGCAGGGAAAAAATTCTAACCTTGTTGGGCTGCTCTTTCAACCTAATGATGTTCCAGCATTTGAGTCCTTCAAATTCAAGCTATGGTTGGATCTAGTTCAAAGAAAAGCAGTTATGTTGTATGCATTTGTCTGGTCTGTAGCCTGACATATGGGATGTCTTAAACTGAGGTCTAAGTGCAATGATGATATCACCAGCACAGTGCAATAATATCAATGTCTGAAGCGTGGACTAGTGAGTTGCTGAATTATGGGGCTGAACACTGCCTCACGTCCCTGTACTTTTTTAACCCTTTTTTAAAAAGAAGTGACATTTGCTGATGTAGATTTATATTGCCCTTGTCTTCAGTGGTGCTTCTGCTCAGCTGTGGTGTTGTGAATCACTGTGGAGGACTGACTTTTCTCTGTCATTATGCCAGTCATTTATTCACAAGGCATTTTTCACTTGCTTCTGTCATCGAGTTTCTTGCCTTTTGTGCTTTGTTACCCCATGAATGAGTCTTCCATTCATACTGTATTATTACTGTATCATTACTGACCTCTACTTGAACTTTCTTCCTCTCCTTCCACATATATTGTTTGACTTTTCCATTGTGACAGTGAGTAAGAAGGGAAACGACATATTGCAGACTCAGAAAGAATTATAGTGTTAACTTCTTCTAGCAGAAGTAGTGTGTATTTTGGCTCTTGAAAATGAGAACAGAGTTTCATACCAAGAGAAGGTGAAATATCAAATGTGGATCTGCAAAATGTATCATAACTGCATGCAAATTGAACTGGTTCTTCTAAGGCATTGAATCCTCCTGGGTGGCAGTGCCTGTATTTGCTGCTTCTCTCTTTGCCTTTCAAAGAACTCTCAAAGAGTAGTAGTATTAACTCCAAGTGTCAGAAAGCCACTACTCTAGTCTAAGAATCATAATTTTGTATTTGTGTCTAGGTAAGGCCTGCAGGGTGGTTTTTTTTTTTTTTTTTTTTGTTTTTAACATTGCTTACTGAATGCACGTGTGAAAGAATAGCAGCAGGTTGAAACTGCAGCCTCAGGGTTGGTCAGTGCTCACAGAAACTTGCAGACCCTGCTTTGTTCTGTGCACCCCCCGTGTTGCCAATCCTCACTCTGCACTTCCATTCCCTTCAATGGGACGTCTCAAGAATCACGTTTTGTAGGCTCCAATAACTATCCCAGAAAGTTCTAGCTGGATCTTTTTTTCAGCATTGCTATCATTGGCATCACTCTGAGCCAAGCTCTGACACGGGTCTTCATAGTGCTATAGCACTTGCACATTGGAATTGCAAGGAAATGCATCACCTTTAATGTCAGGGGGCTTGAGGGATCAAAGGCAGGAAACTTCATTTAGTAGATGCAAAATTCCTTCAGTGCTGGTTATTCTTTGAAAGATTTCCCTGAGACAAAGGAACTGAAATTCTTGATGATGATATGACTGTTGGCAATACTGAAGCAGGTTTTGCGCAAATATCTTGTCCTAATACGTTGCTGGTAGCCTTTAGTCGTATGCTGATGTCTTTGGAGGTGAAATTTTGAGCCTATGCCTTCATTTGTGACATGCAGAGCTGAGTAGACTAAGCCCCTTCCTCAGCTTCCTGGTGGCGGGGCAAGTTGCTTCTGCCAAATAATGCTAGGGAGATTGTAAATTTGTTATAGAAAGTCCATTAATCTTTTACTTTCTCCCCATCAAACTCCTCCGTGAGGTAGGTGGATGCACTGAAGACAGTTGCTGGTGTAAAATATATAAGCTCTTTTTCTGACTTTAGGACGTTTGCAATTCTATCACTTCCTCTAATCTAAAAATCGCAGGCTGTTATTGTTTGTTGTGGAATGCAGTACTTGAAGTAGAATAATGCTATTTATATAGCATTAGGAAACAATATACAAAATTAGGTAACTGGTCTCCTCCCTACTGTCCTGCGCTTGAAACTGGTGAGTATTGTATAATTCAGAGGAAAGCGGTACCTTCTCTCTCACTACTGTTTTCTCGATGACTGAGTGAAAGGAAAATACTCACAACCTGGTCACAGTGTTGAAGCTGTATTGTAGCAGGCTAAAACACTGGGAAGCTTTTTTTTTTTTTAATATGGAATTATATACTGTCATCTTCCCTTAAGAAATGTTTTTGAGAAAATTGCCTATTAAAGTTATGTTTAGATAGTTGAAATGTGCAAAATTATCCTCAAACCCTATAGGAATTCATGACCATGTATGGTTGTATGGAAAGATTATTAAAAAAGACATTTGCTAGAAATGGTAATGGAAACTGGCTAATCTCAGTGGGGTGTGTAAATTATTTGCTACACACTGTGTCTTTTAGACTAACTTTATCAACTAGGATGATATGGTGTTTGTATTCGTATCAGGTTTTAAAGATTTCTATGCAGCATGTTATTCTGTTTAATATCTCACTGTTGTTTATTCCATTTTAGGGAACTTTCTACAATTCTATTAAGTACAACAAGGAGAAAACATAAGCAAATAGTGGGTGTACAGAAGTAACAAAACCTAAATGTTTTATGCAGAAAAGATTCAACAAGTATCTCCTATCTACGAAGAACGAATCAAATTTTCACGTTCTGTGACATTGCAGTACAATCTTGGATCAAACCACACATGCTTTTTTAACAAAAAATAATTGAATGATACTATTTGCACTGATCTGATGATGTGGAAATAAAATTTTGAAAGGAAAAAAAAAGTTATTGTTTTCTTTATTCTTCGGGTTTTGCTTCACTGAATGGATTTACTAAAACCAATAAAGGTTCACAAAGCCATCACTGCAGGATTAAAGAAGCCTTATAGGCAAAAACTTGTTGATGTGAAATGGGTAAGACGTAGGGTACCAACTGGGTTTCATAGTAAGTGTAAGATTTTAGGAGTAAAGAAGGGAAATACAGCCACACAAATCCTGTTATCCTCTTTGGGCTGTATGATTAACTGCTGGGATCGTACTGAAATGGTACATCTGTGCTATACAGTACAGCTGCTTGGATGTGAATCAGGGGTCCAGTTCTATCATTTTTACTGGTGTTGAGTAGCGTTTTACTTTGCCAGTTGTTCTTTTGAAGCTTAAGAAGCTAATCATGGCCAGGGCAAGAATGGCACAATTGAACTGCATGTTAATGGAAGGCAAATACTGCAAGTAATGCAGGCTGATTAACAGGAAGTTTATTTGGCAAAGATATTTAAAACATGAATTTTGCCATGACCAGTAAGTTCCTATTAAATCACAAAACAGATTCCAGTCCTGCTGAAGGAGGTTTTCCTGTTGACTTCAGCGATATAAAAATTTGGACCTCCTTTGGATTTGTCTTCCAATTTAATATCATTTTTCTGATGCTTACTAAATATTCCTCAGTGTTTATACGTTAAAATGTGTTGCCAATTCAAATAGCATTGTCTTGTACTGTAAAAACTAAAATAAAATATTTGTTTTGGCATCTTTGTAAGTGGAATTTTTGTCATGTGTTTAGAACTTATTCTACACTGCTAGCTGCACGTAGGAAATGTTCCCTGCTCTTCTAAAAACGTTTTTAGTACATGGTTAAGACATTAACTGCAACTTTATGGATTGGGTTTCTTGCTCAGTGGATTTATGCTACAGTAGGAATCTAACTCTTGATTATTACTAATTGTTTGAAGTCCTGCACTTCAGATTGTTTTTGCCTTGTTTTTGTCTTTAATGAAAAGATTGTCATTAATAATACAGTGTTAAAGTTTTAAGTTGCTAACCGTGTGGTTTATCCCTCTCTGTAACAGGAGAGCTGCTTGTGAGCCAATGCGAGCACCTTTTTGATTATTTCTCACTGAATTACTGCTTTTATTCACTGAGCATTTCTGCTCAAGATCATTTTATTTCTAACAGTGCGATTCCTCTTAGTACTAGCTTAGTTTGGTATCCTTTGTCAACTAATTTATGTAGTAGATCCTGAGAAAAATGATGATAAAAGTTGGGCTGCAGGTTACTTCACTGGTCTGCAGGTTTTTTACTGTGTTCAGTGACATGATTTTCATCTCTGAATGGTTTGTGATGCATGATACCTTTTCTACTAACATGTTTGCTTTGACTTTCCTACTTCCATCCTTATTCTTTAGTCAATCTGGTGGGGAGTTTGCTATTTTTATACTTCAAACATAAGCTCTTGTTTGGTATAGCTGTGTAACATCACTCATTCATTTTCCCTCCCTACAATATGAATCCACTATTTCAGCAGCCTTACTTTTACAGTCACGCAGCCGCTTCTGAGAGATGTGGCAATTCTGTCTGAGGTTATGAAAACTTCTTCCTTTCTCTTACTTCCCTTTCTGTCATTTTCTCAAACTGAATGTGGCACTTTTGTTTAGGCTTCTCAATTTGTTAAGAATCTGTATCCCTAAAACCTTCTTGTTGATTTATCTTACAATTTGTGTCTAATCTCTACTCCCATTTCCTCTGATTTCCTCATTGGTTAGCTAAACCTTAGAGACTATTAATATCCATCTCCGCTAATTCTCATCAGGTCTTTTCTGTTGCTTTTTTAACGCTCTTTTATTTTTGTGTACTTTTCCATGTATCTGTAAGACTAAATCTTCGTGTGGCGCTAGTTCTCATAGAGGTTGTGAATTTGAATCTGGGGTCTTTGCATTTTACCTTTGCTGTATTGATTGCCTCCTACTTAGGTTTGATACAGCTTATTCAGTTGACCTTCAGTTTTACTCTAGACTCGCAGGGTGAAGTTCACTTCTAACTTTAGGAGTCTACAATGGCAGCTAAAGAAGTTTTTCTACAGAGTTGTTGAGATGTATAGAAACACCTGCTTTTCTATGCTGACTATAAAAGGGGTCTTGATAACCGTTTTGGATGTCTGCATCTTTAGGTTGCGCTCTCTACATTGTCTACACCTAAGGTTAAATGTCCTGAACTGTATGCTGTGTGTGTATATTATTGAGAATGAAAATGAACTGCTGGTTTGCTTCTGTTCTATGATGATTAATTTTTTTCTTTCTGAAGTATTGTATTTTTAGAAGCAGTATTTCTTTTTTCGTGGGTATCCCAACAGTAATTTTTAATGGCTTAATGAAAGAACTGAAGTAGATAATGGCCAAACGATTCTGTTACTGTTGAATTAACAATATTGGTTTTGTTTTAATGATTTACAGGAAGCCTGTTTACCTGTAAAACTCCAGCAATTGCAGATATTGTGATACTGGTAGATGGTTCTTGGAGTATTGGCAGATTCAATTTCAGGCTTGTTCGACTGTTCCTGGAAAATCTGGTTTCTGCTTTCAATGTGGGATCTGAGAAAACAAGAGTAGGTAAGGTCCCGTTTTGTTTTGTGTTGGTTTCTTTTTTTTTTCTTAGTATTTCTGTAGCAATGTAAAAATTTCATGATTTCGGGATAGTTAACAGCCTAATGCTACTTATTTGTGCAAGATTCATCCTCATCTGGAACTAGCACTTCTATCATAAGAATAATGCTGCTGGAATGTTTGTAGTATTAATTCCTCACCGTTTACTGTGATACTCAGCTCAAGTAAACTCTAAGGCAATGTCAGTGGAAAAGAAAAAACAGTGGGAACAGTCTTACTGACTTCAGTCAGTGTTAGATCAAACCCTTGCAGTTTAGTTTTTGGAGGAAAAATGTGCCAATGGGTGGCTTTTCTCACGGTTTAAACTGGCTCAAACGTTATATTTCTGTTCTGCTACTTATATTTTAGTCTGTTCAAAAGCATATTAAATAAAATTGTTCTTTTTCAAAAAACAGCTTATTGGAATCTTACTAAACTCTGAAAAAGCTGTGTACTCCTCATTTACTTTCCTTAGTACTTGAAAGAAAGGCTTTGAAAAATAAATTGAGGAGTTGCCACTGAGAACAACTTTATATTATTTTTTTGGCATTAAGCAATGCAGTTTTTCTAGTATGGTAGCAAAGCTGCTTATGGTAAACTTACTATGGTAAGCTGTTGGTAACCAAGAACATAAAGGGTAGATACTTGGGGGAAAGAAAAAAAGCTTTCTTGTGTAATGGATTACCTTAATTTCGGGTTCTTTAGGTCTTGCACAGTACAGCGGTGATCCCCGAATTGAATGGCATTTGAATGCTTATAGTACAAAAGATGCTGTGTTGGATGCAGTCCGTAATCTACCATACAAGGGAGGGAATACGTTAACAGGTACAGTGTATGTTTTAGCTTTTACCTTTTATTAAAAAACATACTCTGCTGCACAGACTAAGAAGTGTTAGTATTAGTGAAGGATAAAAAGGATAGGGGTTTTGCAGCTTGCTAATGGCTTTGTCTAATGTCAGTGACGTCTTTTCTGAAGTGCTTGTCTCATTGGCTTCACTGGGAATCGTTCTGGTCAGGACAGGGTCTCATAAAACATAGCATACATGAACTCTCTGTGCTGGAAGTAAAATATTTTACCTGCTAGGAAGAAAATGCAAAATCCATTCATAATGTTCATGCACAGAGCTTTATTCTGGAGAAGGAAAGAATGTTGTTTCAATATCTGACAACTGGCAATAGTAACTTTTCAAATGATCACCTGGGGCTTTTAGATTTCCATTGACCTTTTAGTAGTTAGAGCACTGAAGCCCCGGAAGACACTTAGTGATGGATAAATGGGGGATGTCTGTCAACCTGGGAAAAATACTGTCTCTGAATACAATTCCAGTATCATCAAAGCAGCAGTTCGTAATATTGGCTGTCTTGCCGGGAGAATGATATATCCAAAAACCCAGACATGACTTTAAGCAAATTGCTGCCTTCCTTTTTTTTTTTTTTTTCTTTTGGTGGGGAGGGAAGGGGAGAAAGAATGTGAAACATTCTCCTCCTTTTCTGCAACACCCTTTAGTTTGGTAGGAGTGATTGTGGTGGGACAGAGGACAGAAGGACTCTAGTACGATTCTAGGACTCAGATTACTGTGAGGCAGTAAATAGTAAGTCATCTTGATTATTTTATATGGATGTTAGAAGATGAGTTAGGGGCCTTTGCTGTGGCAGACTTGGAGAGTTTTCAGATAGGATCTTCATTGTGACATGTAAGTTTGTCCTGAGGAGTTGTTCTTTTTCCTTCCCTCTAAATAATTAAGAGTTATTAAAATCAGATTCTTCCTAAGCATTTTCTTCAGCTTGTAAATTGGAAAGAACAAACAAGCAAAGAAAGGTTGTATGTGTATGGGGATTTACTAAGCTATCCAGAGTATGTGCTTTTATATAAGCAATGTAGGTAGAAGGAGACGGGACTTCCTATTCTAACTTTGTAGAGTAAGAAAGAAAAGATGATGTGTTCACGGGAAGACCAGTTTAGGTTTCCATAGCCAGTTTAAAATACATTGATTGATCAGAACGCTGCTAAAGATGAATGTCACCTTCTCTGTAGTTTAGGTTGCTTGTTGGAATTTAATCTTTCAGTAAATAAATTTTTGTACTTATTCTTCATTAAAATGTTTCTCAGGATTTTTAAATCGAGTGGAAAGACAAACACTGTTAGTAGCAAAATTAACGGTCCTTTTTTCTTCCCCTTAAAGTCTTTTAAAATGTTTCCTTTTTTAGGTCTTGCCTTAACATACATTTTGGAAAACAGTTTTAAGCCTGAAGCAGGTGCAAGACCTGGAGTATCTAAAATTGGTATACTGATCACTGATGGGAAGTCCCAAGATGATGTTATCCCTCCTGCTAAAAACCTTCGAGATGCTGGCATTGAGCTTTTCGCTATTGGTATGTATTCTGCCTTATCTATATATTGTGTCCCATTATATATAGTCTGGTGTATTTCTACCTGTTGCCCTCTGTATTAAGGAATTGGTTTTTTTCTGTCTGTACTCAGTAAGTTTCATCATTAATTTAAATCTTCTTTAATATGTTCTCCAATTCATTGCTGCTGTAACTGGAATTTAGCAGTATACATGGATGCTACATTATCAGGAGACAGCTGAAAAAATGCTAGTTACGCTGGCAGAAATTAACATCTTGAAAAATTAACATCTTGAAATAACATCTTAACAACAGAGCAATCTGTCATTAGTCGTTAAAGCAACTAGAAAGAATTGGATTTTGGTAATTTTTTATCAATCCTTGTGCATACAAGATTTTTTCTTTTTTTGTTGCAAATATTTTCTTTATTTTTCTTTCCAATGAAAGGTGTAAAGAATGCAGATATAAATGAACTCAAAGAGATTGCCTCTGAACCTGACAGCACACACGTCTACAACGTTGCTGACTTTAACTTCATGCATACAATTGTTGAAGGTCTTACCAGAACAGTGTGCTCACGAGTAGAGGAACAGGAAAAGGAAATCAAAGGTGAATAAGAAACAAGATGAAATGTAACTTAACATGAACTTAGAGCTACAAATCCTATTCCAAATACCTGCAGTTCTAAGCTGGCTTCTGGCACTTGACTCGTGCTGTATATTCTTTTGCTCACAAGAAAGTACATTGTCAAGGGAGTTTTATTCTTGCTTTGATATCTTTCATCTTTTGCTCTCTGTCTTTTTGATAGTGGTAAATATGGTATTTGGTAGTACCAAAAAAACCCCCAAATATACAATAATTCTGCTGTGAATATTTCCAAGTGGTGGGTAAGGAAAAATTTTTTATAATACACAGGTTTGGGGATGAATTATTTTAACAGCCGCACATGGAATTGTTACGTTTGTGCTGTGTTTTCAATCTCCTCACTGTTTTTATTATCTCATAAATTTTCAAAATTTTCAGCTATTAAGATTGCTTTGTCCCTTCTTGATGATGGATTATTTTTTCCTCTTTCCTATTTAATACACAAAAAATACATTTGAGAGCATAAGAAAAGGTGGTGGTGAAGAAAATATTTCTTATATAAAAAAAGCCTTCTCTGACTACGATATTTTTTTGCTTTTCTGAACAAAAGAAATAGCTATGAGAAAATGTTGCAATTTGCCAGAGAAACAGTCCTACCTGAGGAAATTCTTTCTGAAAGGCTTCAGTGGATTTTGTTTGTATTGCTTGTGATTCTGTAATATCACAGAAATGCTGAGTGATTTTTTTAATACGCTTGTAATATATATCAGTAAGGAAGGCTGTCTTTCACACATGTTTCTACCTGTTCAATGAAAAAGTGTATATTAGTAAGGCTTCATCTTTTTCTTCTTTTATTCACCTGGAAACTGGAAGAAAGAGAGAATATTAGCTGTTTCTTGTGGGGGAGTAAGCAGTCAGTGAGAGGGAGTGGATGGAAAAACCATAGAGAGATGAGATATCTTTGTGGAAAGGAATGATTGCTGGAGAAGATGACTATTCACTACATCTCTTCAATCTGCTGACAGGCAGCATATACATTTCCAACCTGCAGAGGAGCACAGGAGATCACAGCTGGATATGTACTTGGATGTTTTTCATGATTGGGACGAAAACAACCTGAAAAAAAAAAAAAAACCAGAAAGAAAAGGCTTGAAAGAGCGATGGGAGGAAGGACAGGAAGGCTGAGTTTTGTATTTTTGTCTCTTTCATATAAAGGTTTATGAAAGACCAGGGAGGCTTAGTCCCAGTGAAAACTCCATGTGCAATATTCATTCTTATTAGTAGTTCTTTGTTTCCATTGAAAATGATCTAAATAAATGTGCCATAGCCAATTATTTGATTTTCTGATGAGGACTGATCTTTGGAGCTTTAGCAAATACAATAAACCAAATAATTATTTTGCAGAGGGGAATAAAAAAAATTGTGTTGTCTCTAACCTAGGAACAATTGCTGCTTCACTTGGGGCTCCTTCGGATTTGGTCACATCTGAAGTAACAGCTAGAGGATTCCGGGTTAGCTGGACCCATGCACCAGGCAAAGTGGAAAAATACAGGGTTGTGTACTATCCCACTCGAGGAGGACAACCAGAAGAGGTAATAGAAGGAAAAGCTTACTGGAAATTTTTAATACAAAATCAAGAATTAACCAGACAGAAAATCCATGGTTTTATTTAAATCTACCCTGAAACTCCCTATGTAGGCTCTGAAGCCCACTACAGAAAGGAGATGTGGTCACATTGGATGGTGGTGAAGGTTAGGTAGTAACCAGGCTGCTTTTCTGTCATATAATTTAAAGTAAATGTGCTATAACAATGAGCACTTCTGGGGGGTGGGGCAGACTGCCTGCATTTTTGTTTACATATACGGTTACTTGAACCAATTCTATAGATTTTCGCTGCACCATTCTGTTTACAAGAACAGAAGAGGTAGGAGCTGATGGTAAGCCAGATTTATAGTTCTAAGAAAAAATAACTCATAAAAGGAAAATTAAATGGGTGTATGTTTTTGGACATTTATAACTGGTCATTGACAATTTGGAGAGGGCTGTTTATCTGAAGAGGACTTAGGCATTTTGGAGACAGGAAAAACTTACAAAATTGAATGGAAAAGCAGAAGAGCAAAAGAATATATTTTATTTCTCTTTGTACTAGAAACTTGTTTAGCACGGATGTGTATTAATGCCAATTTGAAATACTATGTATATACATATGTAGTACTAAAGGAAAATTTATGATTATATAGTAATTATTTCAAAAAGCACCCAATATAGTCTCTTAAAGTGTATTCCATACACTTTATTTATCTAAGCAATTCCCTTGTACTAAATGGCTGCTTATATAAGCTAAACATTTTGATTTATGTATATGGTTGCTGTTCTTTTTTCAGACACATTACTGTACATAAAGGTAGCAAAAGCAAATCTGATTTATGAATTGAACTTTAGTACGTTAATTCTTAGATGCCAGTGTAAAAAGTGCTTGAAAGAGGGATTGATTGATTTGATGGTAATATAGTTGCTTTGCTTTGTGCATATTTAGTTGAATTTTCTTCTAAACAGGTTGTGGTAGATGGAAGCTTATCAACAGCAGTTCTAAAAAACCTGATGTCTTTAACTGAATACCAGATAGCTGTATTTGCTATATACTCAAGTGCTGCTAGTGAGGGCCTCCGTGGAACTGAAACTACACGTAAGTATCCTAATCATGTTCGTTATGGATTTGACTGCCTGCATTTAATCACACTGTGTAAGCATTAGTCTTTGTGAAAAAGAAATACAGAAGGAGGTCTTTTTCAATTTAACTTCTTTTAATGCATTTGCCTTAAATTAATTTCTGTTTGAATTAATTTGGACTAAATTCCAGAGTCCAAATGCTCTGTGGATATTTAAGCACTGAGAAAGGTTTTATCTCTGGGCTGAACTTTTAAGTTGGTTGTATCGAACCCTAAATTAGAACATTCCTACACTTTGGGTGTGGAGCCAAGCTTTATAAATAAGGTTTGTGGCTGAGGATGATCTCATGAGTGGAGGATTAGGTGGGACCAGAAATACCTGTGTCTGATTCCCACCAGTGCCAAAGATTTCAAGGTAACTTCTGTAAGTTCCTTTCTCAATGATTCATTTATTTTCTCTCTGTAAAATGGTGACTTGGGATATTGTTAGAATGAATACATTTAAAGTTTTGGGTTCTATAATGAAAACTATGCTAGTACCTGAGATAACATGCTGCTATTGATCATATCAATTTTATGTATTTGTATACAAAATACAGTTACTTTTTTAGTAAATATGACAGATATTAGGAAGTAAAGCATAACTTTTTAGTTCAAACTAGGAGCCAGGAAGTCAGTATGTGCTATATCAATAGCTGACACCTGCTGGAAAAACAACACAGCAGGGCTCAAGCAATCTAGAAGATTTCTACAGTGCTTTGACAACAACTTCCTGACACAAGTGATCGAGGAGCCAGAAGAGAAGGTCCTCTGCTGTAGCTGATACTTAAAACCGAGGAAGAACTGATGTGTGTGTGTGGGTGTTTAAAGTCACAGGTAGCTTTGGCTGCAGTGACCATGAGATGGTGGAATTCAGTATTTTTCCTGTGCAAAAAGCAGGCCCATAACTCTGGATTTCTGGATAGCAGTCTTCAGTCTCTTCAGACATATGCTTGGAAGAATCCCAAGGGTATGGCCCTGGAGAGAAGAGGGATCCAGAAGAGCAGCTTGATATTCAAAGATCATATCCTACAAGCTCAAGAAAGGTCCATATTGACAAGTAGGAAATTAAGTAGAGGTGACAGGAGGCCAGCATGGATAAGCAAGGAACTGCTAACAGAACTCAGAGATAAAAAGGAAGTGTCCAAGAGATGGAAGAAGAGGCAGATGACTCAGAATACAGAGTTGCTGTCTGATCTTGCAGGGCTAAGTTTAGGAAAGCCAAGGCCAGCCTGGAGCTGAATCTGGCAAGGGATGTGAAGAGCAACAAGAACGGACTTTACAAGTGCACAACCAGTAAAAGGAAGACTGAGGAAAACATAGGCCTACTCCTGAATGGGACAGGGGACCTGGTGACAAATGAAGTGGAAAACACTGAGGTACTCAATGCCTTCTTTGACTCAGTCATTACTGGTTAAAATGGCCTTGAGAAATCCCAGGCTGCTGAGATCAGTGGGAAAGTCCAGAGAAAGGAAGCCTTACCCTCATTTGAGGAGTACCAGTATGGAGAGCACTTAAGGAAATTGGACACACCTAAGTGCATGGGACTGGATGGGCTGCACCTGTGAGTGCTGAGGGAGCTGGCTTATGTCATTGTGAGGATAGTCTCAATTATCCTTGATAGGTCATGGTAACTGGTAGATGTTCCTGAACACTGGAAGAAAGCAAATGTCAATTCTTTGTGAAGCAGGATCTAGGGAACTACAGGCCAATCACTGTCACCTCAGTCCCTGGGAAGGTGATGGAGCAACTAATTCTTGAAACCCTTTTCCAAACACATGAAGGACAAGGAGGTGATTGGAATTAGCATGTATATATGAAGGGGAAAACTTGTTTGACCTCGTGCAGCTCAACAAAGGGAAGCGCAAAGTCCTGCTCCTGGGGAGGAATAACGCCATGCGTCAGTACATGCTGAGGAATGACCATCTGGAAGGCAGCTCTGCAGAGAAGGATCTGGAGGTCTTGGTAAACAACAAGCTGACTGTGAACCAGCAATGCACCCTTGTAACAAAGAAGGCCAAGATCCTCTTGGATTGCATTAGAAAAGGATTGCCAGCAGGTTGAGAGAGGTGATTCTTGCCCTCTGCTCAGCATTGATGAGGCCACACCTGGATGCTTGGTTCTGTACTGGGCTCCCTAGTACAAGAGAGATGTGGACTTACTGGAGTGAGTCCAGTGAAAGGCCACAAAGATGATTAAGGGCTTGGAGCATCTTTCATAAGAGAAGAGACTGAGATAGCTATGGCTGTTCAGCCTGGAGGAGAGAAGGCTCAGGGTAATCTTATCGATGTGTAAAAATCCCTGATGGGAGGGAATGAAGAAGAGGGAGCCAGACTCTTCTCAGTGGTGCCTACTGACAGGACAAGAGTCAATGGGCAGAAATTTAAAAAACCATGAAATTAAATCTGAACAGAGAAAGACACTATTTTATTGTGATGGTGGTCAAGTACTGGAAAAGGTTGTCCAGAGAGGTTGTGGAGTCTACATCTCTGGAGATATTTAAAACCCAACTGGACATGGTTCTGAGCAACCTGCTCTAGCTAGTTAGTTAGACTAGATGATCCCAGGAGGTGCCCTTCATCCTCAGTGGTTCTTTGATTCTGTGACAATGCTAATCTTCCCAATCTGAAAAGAAAATAAAAAAAGATCATATAAAATTATTTGAGACTTCTATCTTAGTCTCAGCCTCCCAAAATGTCATCTCCAGCCATGTTATACCCCATAACATGGTGTTAGGACCTATTTAATTTATTGAGGCAGAGAGAACAGTCACATACTGAGCCAACAGGATTGTTTCATATTGCACCTGGTATTCCTTTGAAGTCACCTAGTCAAGTTCTGACGGATCCTGGCCCTGCTGGCTTTCTGAGATCTGATCAGATCACACCCTAAGGTCGTGCAGCATCAAGCATTTTATACAGCTGTCTTTGATAGTGTGTTGGAAGTAACAGTCTGACATGTGCTAGCATTAATCACTCCACATGCTAAAATACCTGCAGTTTGAAAGTATTTTTTACTATCCTAATGGAGAACTATGGAAAATTGTAGTTTACATTCCTGCCTTTGTGTGAGATACTGACAGATTAAAATAGCCACCAATCACATTTGTTCATATAGAACATTGAAAATAGCTTACAGGTATGTGAAATCTAGACACACACATGCAATATGCATAATGTACAGATAGTTAGAAAGGTTTCTGATTTAATAGTCACTTCTAACTTGAAATAAATATGAAATGCATGCACATTTTTAATTAGTTGCAAATGTATTTTTACCTGGTTTAGTTTATTCCAGTTGTTTTTTAGTAGGTTTAATTTATCCAGAGTATTAGGATAGTCTTGTAACTGTCCATGATGCAAATCAGCATCTACTGGATATTTATATTTGAGATTCTGAGCTCTTCAGCTGAAAATTTCAGTAGAAGACACCACTTGTTTAATTTCCAGTCACTTCTTCCTTAAGTATTATTTATATTGCCAGAGTATGTAGGAATTCCTGTTGAGAGTTAAAATACAAGTCACAAGTTAGAGTTAGAGGATGCTTTTCTTGTAGATTTTTAGAAGTAAAAGAAGGAAAAGGACAGGTGGTGGATATCTCTCTGTGATCCTGGGGCAGTCTGAATAGGATTGAGACAATGTGGTACAAAGTGCCTTCAGAATATCTCAACACATAGTTTCTTTCTGTAGATATCAGAGGTCTGAGTGGAGCTCTGAGCGAGGAGACTGAAGTACATTTGAAAATGTTTATGGGTAGTTTCTCCCTATAATTATAGGAATTGTGGGGATTCATGGGAATGTAATTCAACACATCAAGAGTTTAAATAGGATGGAGGTAGGCTGCTCTGCTCTGCTCTCATGAGACCCCACCTGAAGTACTGCATTCAGCTCTGGGGCCCCCAACATAAGAAAGACATGGACCTGTTGGAGCAAGTCCAGAGGAGGGCCACGAAGATGATCAAAGGGCTAGAGTACCTCTCCTATGAGGACAGGCTGAGAGAGTTGGGGTTGTTCAGCCTGGAGAAGAGAAGGCTCTGGGAAGAATTTATTAACAGCCTTCCAGTACCTAACGGGGCCTACAAGAAATCTGGAGAGTGACTGTTTACAAGGGCATGGAGTGATAGGACAAGGGGTAAAGGCCTTAAGCTGAAGGAGGGCGGATTTAGATTAGATATTAGGAAGAAATTCTTTACTGTGAAGGTGGTGAGGCACTGGCACAGGTTGCCCACAGAAGTTGTGGATGCCCCCTCCCTGGAAGTGTTCAAGGCCAGGCTGGATGGGGCTTTGGGCAACCTGGTCTAGTGGAGGGTGTCCCTGCCCATGGCAGGGAGGGGTTTGAACTAGGTGATCTTTAAGGTCCCTTCCAACTCAAACCATTCTAGAATTCTTTGAAAGGTTTGGAAGTGAAGATAGATGGGTAACCTGGAAGTAGAAACCTAAAGAGAGGCCTGGGTTGAAGTTTTGCCCATTTTTACAGACCTGAACAACAGACTGAGTGAACAGCCTCAATGAAGAAGAAAGGATGGCATGTTTTGTATATGGGAAGTTAAGAGCTCTGTTAGAGCTTGTTGAATGTAACGTAATTGTTACACTAATCCTTGGAGATGTCAGCTAGACAGGCTGCAATTTTTGTTTGGACAAGGAGAGCTTTGTAGAGGCTTGACAACTAGCCTATTAGTCTCATAGTTCCTAGTAGGAAGGGTTTGATATCAATTACCAATTGCCTTCTGTTTTTTTCAGACCCTTTGAGTCATTGTAGGGACTATTATCAGTGTAGAAGTTCCAAAGGAGCAGCCAAAGTTCCCTTGTATCTCTCCAGTGACTGGATATTTTGGTGGGATCCATCAACGGTGTAACAGCTGTGGAGAGGCCTTGGGATGTTATTCTGTGAATGGAAGAAAATGAGGATAATCAGAGAAGTGCAAAATGCTACTCTAAAGAGTTACAGAAATACAAAGAAATATTCAGGAACCCAGATTGGTGCTGTGTTCTGGTATCAGCGGCTTAAATTCACAAGTAAACATCCTAATAATATTTGAATTTCCCTCAGTCTGCTTAGTTGTGCTCGCCAGGTTAGCATTCACCATGATTTGCAATGAATGATCTTGCCCACATTTGCATAATCCCTCTGACGTAGGCCTGGGAGCCAGTTTGGACAGTCCAGGCCTTAAACACACAACAGTTTGTAGTCTAAATATTTTGACATGCGCAACGTGCTCATTCAAGGTTTCCTCCAGGGTGTCCTACCTCATGGCTGTCTCTCCCACGCTCTGACTTGGGAACTATTGCCAGAAAGAGCCATCTCTGGGGACTGCTACGTGTTCCCAATAGCAACCATGCCTATTCTTCAATAGCGAGTGGTCATCCTCCTGCAGATCAGGGAGAAAGAAGGGTGAGATCTGAACAGGGTGTTTTGGTGCCTGAAGAACAGAAATCCTCCCTCTTGAAATGTTCAAAGCCATTTAGGACAAAGAGCTGAAATGCTTTGTAAGGAGTGACTCTGCCCTGGCGTTAGAATTGGTTAGATCATCGTTTCCTTGTTTCTCTAATTCTGCAGTCTTTTATGTACTAATCAGCTCTTCATAGTTGTGGCATGCAGACAGTACTTCTATGCCTGGAGATAGGTCTGTTCCTTTCTGTTTCCTGGGGTAAAATAAACTGTTTGAAAAATAGCTGGTTGTTCAAGTGAGACAACTGAAGTGTCCGTCTCTTTTTCCGCTGTAGTTGCCTTGCCAATGGCATCAGATCTGCAATTGTACGATGTGTCACAGAGCAGCATGAGAGCGAAGTGGAATGGAGTAGCGGGTGCCACAGGTTACATGATCCTATATGCTCCCCTCACGGAAGGATTGGCAGCAGATGAGAAAGAGGTGATGTATCGTGCGTTCATTTGAATAGCAATCATTCAAAAAAATAAATCTTTTAAAGAATAAACTAGTACATGGCCTTTAACCTCCAACTTGATTAGCAAATACTTTGGGATTTTTTTTTCCATGACTGCCTTAAGTACTGTATGTGTTGCAGACTATGAATAAAGTGCAAGCACCAGTTGATTATTTTTATATGTCAATGCCATAAAAACACAACAATTTCAGCTGAATTAAAATGACTCTTTTGAAATGATCTATGAGGTGATACTGTATCATCATGTAAAACTAACGCTCAAAGGAAGAAAAAATAAAGTAAAACTAAGACATCTTCTAAATGTGCTATAAGAAGAATATGAAGTTTAGCTTTTGTTTTCATTAGGACCTTTGAAAGTGAATAAAATTTGCAGATGTGACATTTATTGCTTTTCTTTTAGTTCTGTTCAACTCTTATTTTTAAACTTAAAACAAATACCTTTGATCAAAAGTGATTTTTAGAATATAATTTTAGAAGAAAAAGAAGGCAGGACAAGGTAAAGCCAAGTCTTCTGTCACTAAAATAGTAAAACTTCTAAAGTTGCTAGCATAGTTCCAAGGGAGCTTCTGGTCTAGAATTTAAAAGTTTTTATGCTGAAGTTTCTATATGTATAATTAAGATTATGTACAACATCTCTGTTCAAGCAAGAGCACTGAAAAGCATGCAGGGGCATGCGAACTAGTGGAGAGTGTAGGAGGCTACTGACAGCTCACATAGGCGTATGCTCCTTGCTAAATGAGCATCTGGGAGCATGTAATTCTGTTAAAAACGGGGCCTCCCTGAAAACTAGCTGATGCAGGAGGACTGAGCCGTACCCAGAAGACAGACTTTTTTTTCAATAAATAAGTCAATCCATGTTAATGTGGCTCTCAGTGAAGATGTGGAGGAGGAAAATGATACACATCTTAAATGGCAACAAATCTGAGCCTTGATGTGCATGGAAATCAATTCCTCCTATGAAATTTCGGTCCTATGGCTGAAGACGAAACAAGGTGCAGTGGGGAATGAAAAGGTCTTAGTAGCTACACATTCTAGAGAGGGCTATTTTGTCATTGCTGATGTCACTAGTTATTTTTAAAGTCCTCTTACCTGTACGTTGACTTTTGGCTTTTTGACAATTTTGTTCTTTTGATTATTGTGCAAAATCCCAAAATCTCAGGCCAAGTACCGCAGGCACAGTATCAGACAAATGCTCAGCAGAGCATTTGATCACATATCTAATTTCAAATGTGTAAATAGTATTCTACCCCATCATGAGCTAATTTGAAAGTAACGTGTCTTTTTTTTATTCATGGTGTTTTTAGATAAAAATTGGGGAGGCCTCAACAGATCTTGAACTGGATGGACTATTGCCAAATACAGAATATACAGTCACAGTTTATGCCATGTTTGGAGAAGAAGCTAGTGATCCTCTTACAGGACAAGAAACTACATGTAGGTAGCACATATCTGTCTTTACTTCATTGTTAATAAAACTTTGGAATAGTCTTTGCACATATTAGAGCAAACATATGATTTTAAAATCTGATTCGAATAGTCCATAGGGCAAGGTCTTAACTGTACTTAAGTTTCTCAGTGCGAATACTTAATTTATATAGGCTGAGGATGTGAGTTTCTACAAAACAGCTTGGTTTTGGAACAAGATTATTAACTTTTCTCACTTGTTGTAGTGGTACTATGGATATTCCTGTTGATCTTGGTGGAATTACCAATGGTTTTCTGAACTTGCTGAAGGTGAATGAAGGTCACCATGGAGAGCTAAATCGAGAATGCTCTGTTTAGCCTCCTGTCACCAGAGAACCAGGTGTGTGTGGGAGCCTGCTCCGATGGAGTTGTTCATTCCTCTGGCTCAGTAGTAGTACAGACAGAAAAGAAGCAAAGAGAATGTTTCTGTCCAGTGCCTGCTGCCTACCATCTAGTAAACAAAGGGTTGGAAAGTGCCTGTGCACTCATGATAGATGGTGTGTTTTTAATAAGCAGCAAGAGTTTTGCCAGCTAAATTCTGTCCTCTACTAACTGTACACAGCAGTGTATGTCAGTTCTCTAAATAGCCTCAGCATCTGGAAGACAAAGGAATTGAAAAGAAGCGATTATGCTGCTGGGATATTTCTGAGAGGAGTGATTGCTTCCTCTTGTTTTTTACTGCTGGCATGAGTAAGCCAGTGTGAAAGTGACTTACATTTAATAGGTGAGAGTAGTTCAAGCACACGAGTGCGAAGAAAAAGAAGAGCCAGAGCAATTGCTTCTAAGGTCAGCAAGTATAGTTGTGGCAGAAGCTCTAGGAATGCTGTTTGAACTAGGTCATCTCTGAGAAGATAGTAGTGGACAGACAAGTGCAAATAGGGAACTACTGCAACTTGGGCATATTTGTGGACTTGAAATGAGCGTAGAAGATTCTTAACACTCAAGTCTTTGGCTCTTTGGCCCTCTCTCCCTCTATTTCTCTCTCATTCCTTCTCCTCTCCTCCCTCCTGCTTTTGGTTAATATCTGCCCAATATCTGGTTTTCATTTATCCTAAACAGTAGTTTATGTAGTTTATGACTGTGCCAGCCTGAATTCACTTCATGTCATATGATCTTGGAGGCTGCACAGCTCTAAACCTGGCTAACGCATTGGAGGGAAGATCACATGCAAATTCCAGATACATTGGCAGAAGCTGAGGATTCATGGCTGCGGCATTTCATCACAGAAGCTAGTAACAAATGTTAGTCAGCCTGTCATCACTGTAGTTACCAGACCAGAATAGAAACAACCTAACTACCCTGCAACCTTCCTTTATTTTATGGTGACTCCATGCAACCATGTCTGACTGGTCTTTAGCACTGTAATAAGAAAGAAAATTGATTCTAACCTTCTATATGCAGATATTAAAATAAGCCCTCTTCTAACAGGCTTTGATTGATGAGGCAGTGGGGCAATCTGGGAGCAAAGGAAGCTCTTGGTGAGCACACCTGTCCCACATGGTCAGTGTTCAACAGTAATGTCTTCCCTGTCTGGATTCAGATTTAAGTTACTCTGGGATTTTTTTTCTTTTTTTTTTTTTTTTTTTTTCCCCCCAGTGTGATTATTTCTAGCTTCCAACTAATGAATAGACTACCTAATATTTTCTTCCCGGAGTATATATCTACTTGGAGAGTGATCTGCCTAATTTGCAGTAGTATTACTTGTAGTATCTGATATTCTGTATTTAGTAAATAATACAATTCTACACACAGTATCATCTCAGTTACTATAGCAAAATCTTTCTCTGTGCCAAACAGAGGCACAATCAACAAGCTTATTCTGTGGTGGAATTTCTCTTTGGGGCCAGGATTTACTCAAGACTCACTGTACATATCACGTAACTCTGGCAGCAGGACTGCCTGTCTGGTTGAGAGCAACATTGTCAGGAGGTTGGTTCCGAAAGGTTAGAGCTGAGACTGAAGCATTTTGTGGTATGGTCTGGATGGTGAAATAAAATACATTCCACGACTGACAGAAAGTAGAAAGGAAAGCCAGCACGTGATACTGCCTTCACTAGACTCTGGGGAATATATTGAATGCCAGAAAGTGTGGCAAACCCATCTAACACGATTCCAATGTGTTCCCGTCTTCTCTTTCCTCGTAGCCAAATTGACTTGACTGTGCCTAAGCTGGTTAGGTGTTTGCTTGTAGATTCCGAGTCCATATATAACCTGGCTGAAGATCCCACATAATATATGGGGGGGTTAATCTTTTGCTTTTTCCCATGTGCTCTTGTGTGAAGGAAACAGCATCTGACGTGTTGATATTTATCTGTTCACATGCATTGGGGAGGAATGTGTGTGTGAAGGCAGAATGGATAGAGAAAGGTTCACAATTCAGGGGAAGTTAGCAGAGGTTGGGCTAATACAGAACCTATTGCCGAGAGTAACAGACAGCGCAAATTGCTTTCTCCGATGCAAAAGAAAAGTGGATGCAATCTGAGACGCTGTCTTGCATGACCTCGTTTTTCTTCAGCTGGTGATAGTCAAGGAATACATAGTATATAAATGTGGCTTTAACTGCAGTTGCTGTTAGGAAACAGCTTCTTTGTGTAATAACAGAGCAAAGGTTAAGCAGAGGTAGAAAAAGTTAGCATCTTTGGAGATTTTTTCTGAGCTAGTTATGCTTTTGGACAAACTTACCCTTATGTCAGGGACTGTTAGGATTCAGAAAGTTTTTTTTTTCCAAAATACTACTGTCATGAAATATTTTTGCTGGGATACTCAGAGAAAACAAATGCATATAGGATAAAGATCTAGTTGAATTAAATTACTTTACAAATACAAACACAAATTTATTGCAAATGTTGCATAGGTTAGATCTTGCTATTATATCTGCTATGAGCAATAACGTCATTTCTTTCCTTTTCAGTATTAGTTGAGATGCACTTAGCAAGACTGAAAGTTCTGTTTCAGCAAAGAGCTAAGCCTTTTTACCTGCCTTTGTGTACTTGTGTAGCTCCATTGATGTAGATCTTTTACTATAAATATTGGTGATATAAACTTTTGAATGGAAAATGTGCAGTTTATTTTCAAGACTTGAAAAATGTCATGGCTGAAACCTGGAATCACTTTCATGGGTTTATCTCTTTCCTTTCAAGTGCCTCTAAGTCCACCAGCAAACTTGAAATTTTCTGATGTTGGACACAGTAGTGCTAAGCTAACATGGGATCCCGCTTCCAAAAATGTAAATGGCTATCGCATCATGTACGTTAAAACAGATGGAACGGAAACCAATGAGGTAAATTACTAGCATCTTTCTTCCCTTAGCCAACCTCAGACGTCCCCAAACTTTAGTAATTATTAAGGATAACTTTTATAAACAAAAACTACCTTGCAAGCTGTAACAAGAGCTTTGCTAAAGAATTCTGAAACTTAGTGCAAATAAGAGTTTGCTTAGTACCGGATATGCATTTGGAGTGCATCATATGTGGGGGGGACAGTACTCTGAACTCCTTACATACCAGAACACTCATTGCTAGTGCACACAAACTGAAGGAAACTACTCAAGTAGACTAAATGTATGATGTGGAAATATTTATTCTTGATTCAGTCCAGATAACAAATCTTTCAATGTATCATACATCATGGACTCAAGCTCATCCAGAAAGACAATCTGATGACTTTGCCACATTTTTTTAACATTTATTGCTTTAATTACATATTGAAAGCTCTCTTCCTGGAAACAGGATTTGGCTTGAATGGAATGATAAGATGATACCAAGATGTTCTAACTTAGACTTGCATTTAATAATTTACTTATGCAATATTTAGTTATGCCTTGTTACTAAAGGTGCTTTATAAAAGCTTTTAGCAGCATGAATTCTGTGATAGAATGAAAAATGGGATGGAATTATATTAATACAGACATCTGAAAAAATGCAGAAAAAGGTTTTTAAAAAATAATTGCAGTAATGAGTCCAATTATTAAAATAGGTGAGATCCCTTACAAAATAAGTTGTCATGGATAACTTAGCCCTCCAAAAATCTTTAATGGTAGTTACGTGTAATTATGTTTCTTCTGGGACATATCTGGCCTTTCATCCATACAAGACGGAATATTTGTATTAAACCTGAAGAAATTGTTCCCGAGTTTAGAAGAGAGCATACCTGTGCAATTGTTTGTCTCTTTTTCTTTCTGCTAGGTCTCTTAAAATTTAAATTAGAAATCACTTGACCTCTTCTTATTGATTACCCTTAATATAGATAGTACATCTGGCTGTACTCATCACAATGATATTTGAACATCTCAGGCTTGTGATAATATACTTTATAGTGTGAGTGAATGTTCATCAGGTTTTTATCTGCCTCTTAACTTTTCCTTTCTGTCTGTTTAGAGAGCAGGTGGCACTTTTTTGTTTGTTCTGCATCAGTAGTATTTCCCCTGTGGTGCCAAGTTAACATGACACTGAATAGTTGGATCGATAAACTGCCAGTTTGTACAGCTTTGAGTTTTATATCCCCGGCAAAGTCATGTTAACTGCAGGCTGGATAGCGACCAGATGAAACTCTCATCTTTTCTGTTGACAAATGTTAAACATAATGGTTTATGCAACGATTCTACATGATGAAGGACTGGATTCAATAGCCCAAAAAGTTCCTTCCCCTTCTGGATTCCTGAACACACAGTGCCAATATGTTAGCTAGTGAGTTAGGCTTACTAAGGCTGAATTCTCCTTTTCCCTTGTTTGTCATAAACAAAATTTTCCTTTTCTCTAGTTCATTTATTTTAATTGATTTTACCAGCTTTTATAGTGCTGAATTTATACTTGATCCTAGTTTTCCAGAATTTCTCTACTAATTACATGACATTCTCTTTCTGTATCATTATTACCCAGCAGAATTTCAGACACTGATAATGTGAAGTGTATGATCACTATTTATTGCAAATTATGCTTTCTCTAGGTGGAAGTTGGTCGAGTTGCAACCCATACTCTAAAAAGCCTGACATCCCTTACAGAGTATACTGTTGCTATTTTCTCCCTATATGATGAAGGACAATCTGAACCACTTACTGGCAGCTTTACCACAAGTACGTATTGCTGAACTTTTGAAGGCTTTCCAACAACTTTTTATACTCTCTTACTTTACTGGAAAGTAAGATGAGTAACAGCAAGTGTCTCTGGCTGTTAAATCAGATATATGGAATGGTTTCTGTTATTTTCATTGGAGTTTTCAGCTTCTTTGCTCCCTTATTATGGGGCCAATTGCATCCTTACTCATAAGAGTAATCTTTTGACATCATGAAAACATTTGTGTGGATAAGGTTAATTTCTTAAGTCTTTCCACAGTCAGCCATTTTAAAGCATCTTTTATTGCAATTAGGTAGTAAAGCATTTGTCTCCCCAGTTCTCTGAAGTGTGCCAATTCATTCAGTGCCACACATTCAGTGTGCCACACATTCAAGTGTGATGGCATTTGTCTCTCCAGCTGAAGTATGATGAGTTTTGAATCATACATTTAACCAGTGAACTATCTAGGCAATAAAGGGTAGAGCCTTATTTACATACAGAGAAACTGGAACACCAAAATGAGAAAATATAAAGCATTTAAAGCTCCTAGTCTGTTTAGCACAGTTACAGTTTGTGTAACTGTAGTTCTGCAAGTTATGGATTAAACAAATGACTGATGATACTTAGCAATGCTTTTGAATATAACAATGGGAAGAGAAGGACTTTGAGGGAGGAAAGAGAAACATGAGGTGGAAGAAAAAAACCATACATGTATGGAACAAGAACTTGATACCTATGTCCAAACTGCAAATGAAAATGCCCATGGAGTCTTTGGAAAGGGCAGAGATTGGGACTTTGTTTTGAGGTAGAGGAAAAGAAAAGAGCACGGTGCACAGAGCTTTGAGCAAAGGAGAGGGAGCGAGGGTTGCATGGAGCTCCTTCAGTTGAGAGAGGACAAGGAGGCTTGTCCAGTTAGAGGAGATGAAGAGCATGTATTGTGTGTATTCCCCTCCCCCAACTACAAAAACACTTCCCTAAGTACAAATAAGTGTGCAAAGAATCTGTAGTGCCTTTGTTATCTACCTCCTGTGTTACCTACCTCTTTGTAACAAACTGCAGGTAAAGTGGTACATGCTTGATGTTGCCATCTATGCAAGTCTCAGAGAATAATTTGCTCTCGTTTTTCTTTTGCATGATATTTTGCAGAAAGAGTTCCAGCTCCCCAGCATTTGGAAATTGATGAAGCATCAACAGATAGTTTTAGGGTCAGCTGGAAGCCCACCTCCTCCGATATTGCTTTTTACAGATTGGCGTGGATTCCTTTGGATGGAGGGGAATCTGAAGAGGTGAGTTGCCTTGACTTTCTGAGGGTGTGAAATGGAAGAGAGAATTACATTCTGAGGACACTTATGCTGCAACTTTTGCCTGTTAAATATGGCCAGTTGACTTACAGAAAATTCTGCCCCACTGCAAAGCTCTCTAAACCAAAATCAAAACGATACTCCAGTTTCTTTTTGAAGAGGAAATGAGGAAAGTAGAGATCTTTTGTGACTAACCTGTCATGTGCCAACTGCCATATAACTAGTGTTGCCGTTTGATGCTGCTTCAGTTTTTATAAGTTCATGTTCTTTGCTTCGCTGTGAAGAAGACAACAGCTGAGCCAGAGCAGTGATATCCTCACATAAGGCTCTACATTTGTCTAATGTGCTGGCCACAGTAAAATTGCCTGTGTAGCCTTAGTTATGTAATGTCACAAAAGGAAAGTTTACACATAGGTGACTTATTAGATTGTTCCTTTTCTCCTCTTTACAGTTCTTTCTCATTTTCCCCCTCACGCTGTATTTTTTGCTCTAGGCCCTTGTGCATCTTCTCTGTTTTAATCAGTCTGAATTTTTAAATGATTTTTCATCCTTTTAGCTTCTCCTGTTTTATTCTCTTTTTCCAAGTATTTTGCAATAGACACTTTCTCTCCCTTTACCAAATTTTCATCTTTCATAGTCTGTCTCATTTCCTCTTTCATTTATTTACTCATTCTTTTGGTTTCTATTGTACTCCTTGATCTTTAATGACTCTTTCAAACATCTTGCTCTCTTGGCATCGGCACTGTGAAGACAGGCCATATCGAGGCCATATCTGCAAACTGTTTATCTGGGTACAGAACTCAGTGGGGAAGATGACATTTCCCACCTGGCCGTAGGTTTCAGGCATCATTTTGTCATCCATGAGGGCAGAAAGCAGTTGCTCCAGCTTAGGTTATGTGGCATTTTTTTCCTGAAAATTTAGCTTAGATTGATTCTTTCTTCCTTTTCACCTAGTGAGAGGGAGTCATGCAAGAAAGAAAGAAATTGCAGGAGTGAGCAGGGAAAAGGAGTTGGCAGATGAGTGAGTGGACACAGGCATCCCCTAGCATTTTCTCCTGCAGTAGATGAAGTGATTTGTTTCTGTTTAAGTTCCAGTGAGTAGCTGTCAGTGAATCCCTTTAAGCTATGTGCTTTTTTAAGTAAGATTTATGATATCTGTGTTCTTTGAGTGTGATAATAAATGATCAAGAAATATTTGAACTTTTAAGGTTCCACTTGTTCATTGTAGTCACTAAAAACCGCTGGAGGTCCTAATATTTCAATGTACTGAAATATTAAAAATACCCGAGCTGCTTTCTTGTTCTCCTTGCATGACCTCTCTAATGGGGTCAGGCCTAGGATAGTACAATACCTCCAGGCTGTTGCCTCTTTAAGCTTCTTTCCCAGCTAAGTGATCAGTCATGCAGAGAAATGACATGCACTCCCTCCATCTTTCTCCCAAGACCCAACTTGCCAATTAGCTGAGTGGGGTCAGGGGGTGGCGGTGAGAATTACACACCTCTCTTACTTCACCCACACTGTTGATGGGTGAGGAGCGTTTAGTGGGGTGTTAGTGCTAAAAAGCCAGAATAAATGTAAGAGTGACCTTTTATTTCTAGGTTACAGTAGAGAGTGAATGCTGTTGTACTCGTGCGCTTGTTACTATTCCTGCCTCTGTTATTTGTCCTCTCCACTTGAAAGTTCAGCACTTTGTGTTCTTCTTTCTTTTTGTGGTCTTCTCTGTGGGCTAAATTAGCAGGGAGTGGAGGGTGACAGAAATTATGCTTCAAAAAGTATGCCAAAATTATGTGTAAGATAGTAACTCTGTATAGATATTTCATTGTGATTTGATATATGACCAGAGTCTCTGGGAAACTGGAAAGGAAGGTATTGCTTATACCTACTTAGTATACAGCTAGATTCACTTAAGCTTGTTTCTGAAATTTTCCCAAGAAAATCTGTGCCAGAAAGTGTGCAGTGTGGGGTGCCTAATTCATTATTCGATAGTTGTAGAAGGCACGGCCCCAACTCATTTCTTTCTGCTTTTGTTTTCTGTACTTGAGTTCAGAAGGTCTGTGATTGTTTTATAGGTCTCTCTTCCCCAGGACCAACTCAGGAAATGTCCTGTGGCAATTAAAAGAGTAAAGTGTGATTCACTGTTTCTGCTAACTGCTGTAGTAGATTTTATGCAGCATGTATCAATTGCTTGATTTCTGTTATAAGTCTTACTTTGATTGTGTGTATACAGTGGCTACCTTTAAAAACTTGCCAGTGCTATCCTAGAGAAAGGTTGTTGTTTTGTAGTACCTGTCTGCATAACCTAAAAACTGTTCCCAAATCCGTTCAGCCCGTTCCACCTGAATTAATGTGCAGGGTCCTTGCATTCTGCTTTACAGCCCCCTTTAGCTCCAATCCCCGCCTGTCTGCTGATCCCTTCCAATCAAATAAATGAAACACAAAATCTGAAGTGAAACCTTCTGCTTACAGTTAACATTGCACATGTGAATCTTCTGCTGCTGTCATAGGTAGAAATAAGGAAAATTACCATTTAAAGCATCACACCATATAGCAAACTTCTCATCAGCACATCTCCCCTAATCCCCAAGCCTGCAGCAAATGTTCTTTCAAGTCGCATTCAGATACGTGGAACCATAACAGGGTTTATAATTCTGGTAGAGAGACAGCATTTTGTAAGGCTGTGGAGATGCTGAGTACATTTGTCATAACAGTGCTTGAATGGTAGAAATATGAATGAAAATTGATCTACCCTGTTGTGTTGCTTTCATTGATGAATGTTTTGAATTTTAGTGATTTTCAAATGAAATGCATATGGTCAGCTTTAGCAATTAATTAGTTGTGAGTGAAAGTATAAGACTACCCATTAGAATAATCAAGCCATCTACAAAATAATAAATAAATTTTAAGTACTCTAAACAGTGTTTCTCCCCAATGTACTCTGTGATACTTTTTCTTTCAACATAGCTAATAAATTCTTTGGGCAGATCTGAGTGGACATTTCATTTATTTTAAAGGAGAAACCATTTTCCTTCTTTCATTTCAGTCAATTCATATAAATTAATCAAATGCAGGACTGATTTTCTCTAATCTTGCTGTGTTACTTAGGTTGTCATAAATGGAGATACAGACAGTCATGTTATTGAGGGTTTATTGCCCAACACAGAATATGAAGTTTCTTTGCTGGCAGTTTTTGATGATGAAAGTGAAAGTGAAGTTGTTGCTGTTCTTGGAGCTACATGTAAGATAAACTCTTGATTGTAATTTTGAAGAGATATTTAAGTGATTTAAATTTAATGCATATATCTTATATTTAAAATATAGTCCATCTTTGGGTAGCTATAATATTGAAGAATGTGGTGGTTTAGCACTAGGGCTTTGCTGACTGTATTTTTTACTTATTTAATATTATGAGGTAGATGGCACTGAATCAAAATGATGGTTTGGCTCCCTATCTGAGCTGTGGTATTAATAACCTTTGGGTCTGGGTAGATACTCTTCCATCCTACATTTCAATATTTAGTCTTTTACCAGGGTTCTTTATGAGAAGGTATATTAGATTTTAGGGGGAATAAATATTTTAAAGTAAACAATTTACAAGAAATTAATTTAAGATGTTTAGCATTTATAGTACACTCTTTTTCTCTTATTTATGTAATTTATACTCATTAGAGGTGAATTCACTCTTGGCTGAAACAGTGATCCAAAAAGCTAACACAGGCATCCTACGACATTAACGTGGAAGTAATAAAGATAAAACTTGACAATCATGTGCAGTATATTTTTATAGTTAATATCGAAACAGTGGCCATCAGTGCAGGTAGATTGCTCTATGCACTCTCTTTTTTACAGATAGCGACATGGTTAAGTAAACAACTATGTTTTTAATGTGCAAATTCAAAAATTTATTTGATTCTTAGTAATTTAATTGCAAGCTAAATCTTGAACCGTCTGTTAAGACAAGAAGCCTTTATCCATCCAAGTGATGCCAGCATTGCCCGGTGTTGCTCAGTGTACTTTCTGGTTTTGACATGGGCAGAAGTGACGCATCCTTAAATAGCCCTCAATTCAATTAATCTGACAACCTTAACAAACGGTCAAAGTGGAAGTCATTATGCATAGTTCAGCCAGAAATGTGGGAAACTATATGCATTCTTATTTAATTGTATAGTTTATAATTATGTCTTATCTGTAGATCTGAGTGCTAATCCTGCAAATATATGTGCCTAAAGTAAACTAAATGAATACTTCCCTTATAGTCTCTGAAATGCCTGAAGTGTGTGGGATACTTGTAGGTGTGAGCACATAGTTTCATTGTCATAGTTAGACATAGGAGATAAGCACTGTGACTTCCACGGCTTGTTGAATTGTTAGTGAGCTGAATATTGTTTTTCAGTTGCGAGGACTACCCCAATACCTACAACGGTGACTACTACCAGTACCACAACTTCTAAGTCCACCACAGCAGGTAAACAGAATAAACACGAACAGTTTAAATGCTGAATGCATTGTGGTGGCTCCCCACAAGCACACCCAGATCTGGGGGCAGAGAGCTGTGATATTACCAAGGAGCTGACAGCCCCAGGTCCTGATGGTCCATGTGCTCAGCACACTGCCACGGCAGATCTTGGGGAGGTGTAGACCCCAGGCGGGGGGGGTGGGGTGTGTGTGTGTGTGAAATAGTGCACACACTGGTGAAACGTGTGCACTATTGCACTCCTGCACCACCCTTCTGCGTGTGGCCAGCTTCCTGCACGTGCCATGTGTGGATGAGGATCCAACCTATAATGCAGTTGTAGGGACTCTGAACGTTACCGTGATATTACATAGGAATGCAGAGACTGATTTGGAAAATTGAGCTCTCTTTTCTCTTTCTCCTCATAAATACGAGCTTGGAAACTCTTCAGAATTTTCTTTAGTTTTGAGCGTTCTGTTTGTTTTCCCTGGAATTTGAAAATTGACTTTTAAGGACCAACAGTTCTGGAATATTTCTCTTCTGTAGCATTCTAGCTGCAGTGGAGTTTTGATGATTATTCTAAAGCTCCATAAGATGAGTAATATAAACAAAGTAGATGGGGTAATGTTAATGGCAGTATAGGATAACTATTATTTTATTAAATGGTTAAAGTTTTTATGTTATTAAGCCCAAGTGTGACTGAACTGTATGGGTTCGCCCCACCATGGACCTGCAGACTCACTGTGACTTCAGTAGAGCTTGCAGCTACCTGGTGCTAATTAGCACAATTTAAAATCTAAAAATAGTGTTGAGAAAATATTAATTAAATTATTTTTGGCTTTAGTTTTTCGAACAGGAATCAGGAACCTCGTTATAGATGATGAAACAACTTCAAGTCTGAGGGTGATATGGGACATTTCAGATTACAATATTCAGCAGTTCAGAGTGACCTATCTCACTGCGAAAGGTGACCGTGCTGAGGAAGCGGTAAGAATGGTCTGTATGGGTTTTGCGAATGGCTTCATAAGCTTGAAAAGTTTGTTTAATAATTGCTAAGGCATAGTCTCTCCTTATATGACACTCCTGTCACAATTAGTAAAAGATCCGTGTTTGGTATTACTGTAAGATTGAACTTCAAAGTTTTAATCATATAGCACCTGCTGCACTGCAGGCAACAGCAGGCAAATATAAGATCAAGGCCCAGTCACGCAGATGTTTAAAGAAGTCATAGTTCAAAGAGTAGCTGCCTGTCCTCCTTTTGCTGTATCTTTAAAATTTGTCTAAGTTTTTTGGTTGGTGGTTTTTTTTTGGCTGGTGGGGTTTTTATTTACTTTTTACTCCTAGACCTTTTTCTATCCTGAGATTGTGTTTTAACAACTCTTAAATGTTTGTACAGGACAATCTTAAGTGATTTTTTTTTTCCTTCAGCTATTTTGCTCCTTCCCTAAAAGTCTCATTTTATACTAAAGCAATGTAATTAAAGTTCAAATGCTCATACTGCTCATTAACCTGAACATGTCACAATAAGGACAGCACTTTTTAATCTCACTGCCTAAGCACATTTGTTATTTTTCTAATACCATGTGATGATCAAAATTAAAATTGCCTTACACAAAAAAAGTTTCTGGTGATCAAGATTTTGGAGAATATTTGAAAGAATGAAGAGTACTACATGTATTCTTTTGTGCGTATAGCAAAGAATAAAAAAAAGAAGCACTAGATGTATTATTTTAAGATTTCACAATTTCTGAGATAATTTCAGAATTCTCAGTGGCTATGTTTTGGAGGGGTTTTTTTTAGGGGGGTTTTGTGGGTTTTGGGTTTTTTGTTGTTGTTTTTTATTTTTTTAACAATTGGGGAAATCTTAATATTGCAGTGCTTGCTTTCCACAAAAACCAAGTTACAAAATTCGGAGATAGCTCTATGTAGATACATTTAAGAGATTAAGTTGTATAGTTCGAGGTTATTTTCTCAGTAAATAGCTCAGAATGCAAAAATATTCCCCATATCATTCTCCTTCTGTATCTGTCATGTGACTCACTGTTGTTCATACAACAGTTATATCGAAAATATGGGCTTTTTTTGATGTGTAGCAGCTGACATTTTTTAGCTCTGTATCAGACTAATAAAAAACATTAAAAGGAGTTAGTTGAATATCTTTTTTCTAGAAAATATGAATCAGTCTTTTTTCATTTTGGTTTCGTTCATCTTTTATGAGACCTTGGTAGAAAATTAATTTTTAGCCATGTCTTTCAACTATAATCTGAAAATGAACTTTTAATTTAGTGGTTTCCGTTTGGGCTGGAAAACATGCTTTATGAATGTACCTCAACTATATGATAGTATAGTACTGAATAAGAAATGACATAAGATTATACTTCAAATTAGCATATTTTAAATAGAAGCAAAGTATTTTCTCATGTGGCTTCAAGCACCTGAGAGGTGCAGCAGAGAGGCCAATGAAATGACACAGACGTTCAATTTTTAGGGGAGTGTTTGTATGTTTAAGTACATTTCTTAAGAAGAACCCAAAGGTTTTGTGGAATTTGGGCTTAAATATACTATAGCGTGACAATTCTGTGGTGGATGCTTATGTTTTTTGGCTCTGATTACAGTGATGTAAATTTCAGTTACTCCTCCCTGTCCATAAAAATATTAATAAGCTTTTTTCATCTTTTATGCAATTGGCTGAAAATCAGGGACTAGAAAATGTCATAGAATACTTTTCACTACAGAAGGGTCAAGACCTAAATTGCATGTATGTTCTTGGGTGTGCTGTACAGACTGGAAGGATCACATTTTTTTTTCTTCTTCCTGAAAGCCAAGAATATTTCTCAATGCTGAAAACTATATTGGTCTGTAGAAGATCTCTGATATGCACATGTGGAAAAGAGAGTTCTCAATGCTTGCATCCCCTCTCCTAAAAAGCCAAATAAGTTGGTTGTTCTTTTTTTCAGAAACTTGGTTTGTGTTTTGAGCATATGTATGGAAGAGTTTAGCATGGGAATCTTTAATGCACGTGTCTTTAGATGGTTTTGTCCATTTTTGATCAATGAATGAAGTACTTTTGACAAGTCTCAGCACCTGGGTGTACTAGATTAATTTCCTTCTCTGTATCTCTTGCCAAAATTAGAAGTAGTTTGAATGTTTCCTGGAGCATTAAAACTGGTGAGAGCTTTCTTGTCTGAGTGTATGCTTCAGAAAATTTTGCTCTGCCATCATCGTGTGCATCAGTCGTCTTTGAAACAACAAACCTTTTTTAGACTCAGTTTCTGCTTTTTCCCCTTGAATTTAAAGGGCTTATAGGTCTCTGAACGTCTTGCCAAAAATGTGCAGTTGCTGGCTCAAATGATAAATTCAGACAAGAGGGATGGGCCAGGGAGGGTCCAAAATATGAGGTTGGACCTTGGGACTGTTGTTTCCAACAGCATCACTTCAGAGCACAGGTTTCATGAAGGAAACTTAGGATTTCTCTTTTTTTACCATGTCCACTCCACGTGTTGTGTAACTCCCCATTCAGGCTTTGGAGACTCTCTGAGATTAAAATTTTACTGGCAAATTAAAAGATTGCACGGCTTTACTTGGGCACCTCTACCACCACTATTGTGATACTAGTTTGTGGGGCTCTGGCTAAAATATAGTAATCTATTGAAGAGTTTCAGAAATAGCTGCTTATGGGGAAACCCTGTACTGTACTGAAAGATGCAATGCTTAATTCAGTGGTTGAGCACACTCAAAACTGCCTGGAGGAATTTCTACAGCTTCTCTACTTCTACCAGGTTGCCTGGCTGGACTCATACTGCAGAGCTTCCATGTTTCATGACAGTTTGGGATCCTCTGCTATTTGTGGGATGTATTCCTACTTCCTTTCCTAAACAGCCGCCTTCATTTCCTTGTCCTCAGACTAGATGCAGATGGGACAAACATGTTTTATTCCTGCTTCCTCAGTTCATGCTTTCTGATCTCCTGAATTCATTTTCCTTCCTGCCAGGGAAGGAAGATTTTCTATCCCCATAGAACATCAACCTTTATTAATGGGCATAGCTTTGGACAATCATATTTGTGTCAAGAATAAATACAATAAAAGGATTTATTTTGTCCGTACACTAAAATTGTTTAAGTCCTAACCACCCATATAGTAGCAGTGGTTTATGGAGCTGTAATGGCTTGTAGGTTTAATATAAAACTGTCTTATCACATAGGCACATTCTCCTTTTTATTTTATAACTGGTATAACTAGTAAAACTGTTAAAAGGGGGGAAAATGAAATTGCTTTATTTTACCATAGAGCATCAGAAATATTTAAAAATGCAAGCTATACAGCAATACTAGTAGAACATGGTGTCCGAGATCATGTGAGATATAAAAAAGTTTTGGCCCTCGTCATTAAGCTTGATTATTTCTGACCATCCAGGTAATGGTGCCTGGGAGACAAAACACTCTTCTGCTTCAACCTCTGCTGTCTGACACAGAGTACAAAGTTACCGTCACTCCCATCTATTCTGATGGGGAAGGAGTCAGCGTCTCAGCACCTGGCAAAACTCGTAAGTACAAACTTTCTGCTTGTCTTTGGCCAGGCTATATATGAAGAAATGCTTACTCTCTTGGCGGTTTTTCCTTGGCCATGGTGATATATTTTAATATAAATTTGGGCTTATTTTGCATGACTTATATGAATCAAGAGCTTTATATTAATCTCAGTTCATTGATTTATAAACAATAGGTTGCTTCTAATTGACAGATTGTATTTTATATACAAATACTGTGAGTTTGCAGAAACTTGTTGAGTAATAAAGCTGATAAATCCTTGATTGATAGCCCACCAAAGACAAGCCAACTAATGCAGAAAATAAAGTAAACAATGCCAGCTGGGATAGTATCAAACCAACCATTGTACTGTTAGATTTTCTTTTGTGTGAGATCATTACTTCCTAAAGGTCATTAGAATGCTGCTGAACTTTTATAAAAAAGTGATTGCATTATCTCTAGAGTTCTGACCAAGTACCAAAAGATTACTCAGCTGTAGCTTAAGTTCTCTCTCTACCGTATATTGGTAAAAAATCATCTCATTGTGCACTGTTAGTCATGATAGTATACTTTTATTGAATTATTCTCTTGATTTACATAATTTCTGCCTAAATTGAAGTGCTATTTGTGCAGACATTTAAATAACTAGTAAATCATTCCTTTGATTCCATTTGAAAGCGTGTTCACAAGAGCATGATTTATACATTAAAAACTTTAGTGCACTTGGATTAAAAGAAACTATATAAATACAAGATATTTATCTGAATTATCTTACATTTTTAAAAAACTGTAGGGACAAAATTGGGAATTAATTCAAAAATTCATTGTTTGTTGAACAAAGTTCGTAATTAATCCTTGGTATCACTCGGTATAACTTTCTTAAATATATCAACATTACTCCACTGGCGTTATGCCAAGGAAGAATTTGATTAAAGACTTTCGTTCATTTTTAACTGTAAATTGGAGAATACTGGCTATCTCATTATTTTCATGCATGTCTTGAGTTTTATGCAGGTCCTCGTATGAGATAAACTTGTAAAAACTCAGTTTGGTTTCCTTTTAGTACCCTTGTCTGCTCCTAGAAATTTACGTGTCTCAGATGAATGGTACAACAGATTACGTATCAGTTGGGATGCCCCGCCATCACCAACAATGGGTTACAGAATTGTCTACAAACCAATCAACAGTGAGTTTTTAAATTGATTTTTTTGGTTATTTGTTTTTGACTGTACAATGTCTTGACATCATCTTTTGCTGAATTTCGTACTTAAATCTTAAAGTTACAGTTACAGCCTTGAAAGTGCTATTATTTAGGTGTCTCAGGGTTTGAAATGAAAGTTTTGTAGTCACAGAATGATACAGGTTGGAAGGGATCTTTGGAGAGCATCTGGTCCAATTCCTTGTTCAAAACAGGGCCAGCTTGGAACAGGTTTTACTGGACCTTGTCCAGTTGTGTTTGTAATATCTCCAAGGATGGAGTTTTCAAAACCTCTCTAGGCATCTGTTGCAGTTTTTTACTTCTCTCACTGTGAAACTGTTTTTCCTAATATCTAATCAAAATTTCCCATGTTGCAAATTTTGTCTGTTTTCTCTTACCATCTTCCAGTTTGCCTCAGAAGAGATTCTGTCTCCATCTTCTCTACCCCCTCCCATTAGGTAGGTGTAGGCAGCAGTAAGATTCCCCCTGAGACTTTCCATCTTAAGGCTGATCAAACCCAACTCTTTCAGTCTGTCCTTTTATGTCATTTTACCATGACTCTTTCTATTTATTTCAGAGACGGCCTTTGTTCTTTTCCTGTACCTCTCTTCTGAGTTCTCCTGTCCTTCAACTTCCTTCCCCTTAGAACGCAAACAAAGCTTTAGTTTCCTTGACTTTTACTCCCACCCTACACCTCCCCAAAAAACCTGCCACTTCATTTGTTGCTCATTTTGTCTGTGCTGCATCCTTTGCCTACCTGCACGTTGCAGTTAGACAAGGCACTCATTCTCCTTCAAATTTCTTTAGAAAAACAGTCCTCTACTGAAAGCGAAGTACAAATGTGTGACCATTAAGGGACCAAAATAGTGTCCAAAGACAATACTGTTGCCTGGTTTCTGAAATATATCCAGAACAGCTAAGAGAGGTGACAAAGGAGCTGTTTGCAGTTCTGAATTGGGACAGTTTTATTCTTTTCTATTTTCATTATCATTTTTGCACCGTGTTAAATGATGCTGTTGTATAAGAACCCCTTAGGGACTGTTTTGCTGGCTGGCGTCTGCTGTCCGCCCCCCCTGCCCCCCCGTTGGTCCTGGCACACCATCAAACTGAGGAGATCTTTGGCTGCCTATTTAGGGCAGTAGTAAGTCACTGAAGCAGAACAAAAGAGTCTTAACAGATGCCAGTGTCTATCCCTGCCCTAATGAATCCCTCTGCTGAATTTCCCAAGTGTTTTGTGGCTTCTGTCCATGAAAGGATGGGGCAGAGTGTCTTTGTTTTTGTGTATGGTTAAAAAAAGAAGAAAAAGGAAAAAAAAAAAGAAAAAAAGCAGCAGTAACTTTAGAAGAACATGTAATTTTGAAATTGTCTTAAGATCTGTTTTAACTACCTGCTAATTCAATGTATGGGCAAATGATTTACTAATCTATTTCATTTTTTGCAGTCCCTGGTCCTGCGTTGGAGACCTTTGTAGGGGATGATATTAATACCATTCTTATTCTAAATCTCTTCAGTGGAACGGAGTACAGTGTTAAAGTATTTGCTTCATACTCAACAGGCTTCAGTGATGCCCTAACAGGCGTAGCCAAAACCTGTAAGAATGATTTCATGCTGTTCAGATCTCTACAGGCTGTTTCTCGCTATAACTATGGCTTTGTGCAGCTCCCTGAATAAATTTTCACATGGAAGACTTTTTCGGTTGTGTGCAAATTGTTTTCCTGAAATGAAAATCTCTTTTTTTATCATACTGTATCAGGCTTTAGAATAATCTGCTGGATGTCAGCATGATAGGGGTCATAAAGCAGTTGTTATTATTTATCAGACAAACATATTTGCATAGTAGTAGATATAAACATCCTTAATGGAAAGTTCATGTAGTCTTTTTTTTTTACCTAGCTCCATATACATAATCTGATTTAGTCTTTATATATCTAAGCCTCAATTTTAAACTAAATTTTGACAGAAATACTGCTGTTATAATGATATTTTAATACTTATTTGTAGTAACTGAATTTTTAGAAATATTCATTATTTAGTCTTAACTAAATTGACTTAAGTTCCAAACTTTTCATCTAAACACTCACTTTTTTTTTTTTCTTTCCCATTTTGGAATTTATTGACATCATTTTTTAAGCAGCTTTTGAAATTACTTGTTAGAAATGAATTGACACAATGTGTTTCACGATAATTGTTTTATCATTTTGCCTTGTATGTCTTTTTAGAGGAGTAAATCTAATTTTTTGGTATTTAATTTTCAGTGTACCTGGGTGTGACAAATTTGGATTCCTATCAAGTCCGCATGACTAGCCTCTGTGCTCAGTGGCAGCTTCACAGACATGCTACTGCATACAGGGTAGTTATAGAATCGCTTGTGGGTAAGTTACTAATCATTTTGTATGGACCTACAGCCTAACCCACTAAATTGAATTGCATAAGTTAAGAAACTGTATGCAGTTGGACCCATAGACTGGCTCCTGAAATACTGGAAATGGTGGACAGAAGAGAGATGTGGACACATTGAAAGTTTCTAGAGTAGAAGTAGCATTGCTGTCCTTTTATATCAAACAGATCTTGATTGTTTGTCATTTTTATGGGAGGGAGTTTTATCTATCAGTAGAAGATAGGTTTTCACTGATGTGAGAGAGAGAAGATGGATAAAGGATGAACAGAATACATCAAAGATTATAAATAAACCATCAGTGATAGCTCTGGACATGGGAGGAGGGCAGAAGGGTATGGAAAGCTCTGATTGAACCCAGACCATGCTCACAGAGTCGGAAGAGTTTTTTCTGTTCTCATTCTGTTGATCATTAATTATAGCTTGTAGTAATGTTACTCATGTGGATAAGCATGAGATATTTTTATGTGACAACACATGGTGTCTTGATGCTTTCAGCACTAACTGTGTAGAGGGTGAATTACAGCCTCTTCCGTCTTGCTGATTCTCAGGTCTAGCCAGAAGAGGTTATGGAGAAGTCACTGTGCAGCCTAACTCTTATCCCCAGTAGACATGAGTGATCTTTTGAATGGTGGCAAATTAGAAGCATGGATAACTTGAATGAATTGTAGTTAATAACATTTAATAGGATCTATCAAAGGTATCGTGAAAAATAATACTAATTTGGTTGCAAAAAGATAATGACCTTTCTGTGGAACGGCAAATGGGTGGTGATACAGTTTATCTGAAGGCCTGGAACATAGACAAGCTGTTCAGAAAGCAGAGATCCTGGCTGGCACAAGACAGCACAGATTTCCTTGTGATCTGGGAGCTAGCCAACATTCTGCTTTCATCATATAGACCTGCCAGAATTGTTTTAACTGATCCAAAAGAGCCTAAATGTGAGCAGAATGAGCTAAAGCGTGAACAATTTTTTCTTATTAACATTTATCATAAAGAGTTGTGATTGTCAGATTGGTTGTGGACATATTCAGGCAGTGATCAATTATCTTTATCCTGATGCATCAGGTGTTTTTTCCTTGGCAGTGAATGACTGGCACTTTTGTATATACTCTGCAAAATGTGAGATTAGTAGCTTGTAGTTCACTTCTTTCTGCTACAGATTATGAATTGTGCTGAAGGTTTTCTTATTATTATTAAAATATGCCTTAAGCTATTTTCAGTACCCAGGCTTTTTCTATTGTCAAAATGTTTTCCAATTTAGAATTTTGCAGAATTAATTTCAGAACGCTGTAAGTACTATTCCTTAACCAACTTGTTAAGTGGTTGCTAGTGGAAGCTGGAATACAGTACCTAGTTCGGTCTCTCTTGCAATTACTAAGCACGTTACAGACTCTGATAACCAGAGACATAGACAAAGGATACCGTAGAATTACATAATGCAACAGTTCCTCATTAGACTCTGAGAATTTAGGACCAGATCCAAAGCCCATTGATGACAGTGTTAGTGTTTTTTATTAACTTCAGTGCATAGGATGAAATTAATCTTTTTTCCGGCAGATGTCTGACACATCCCTCAGCTCCTACTTTATATGAAGGATGAAATGGTAGACACCTCTGCAAAGAGATGAATTTCTAGAAATAAGGCAGCATGTAGTTTATTAATTTATGTCAACCACTTGTCCTGCATCTCCTGTCATGTTACCTTCTTATTTCAGACTTAAATTACATTATTCAATAAAACAGTAAAGTAAAGTATGTTTTAATAGTTTCTTTTATAATTCCAGATGGTAAAAAGCAAGAGGTAAATCTTGGTGGAGGGACACCTAGACATTGTTTCTTTGAGCTGATGCCTGGAACTGAATATAAAATCAGTGTTCATACACAGCTTCAGGAGATAGAGGGCCCTGCTGTAAGCATCATGGAGACAACATGTGAGTAAAATAGATCAGAGTTCAGTCAGCAGCAATAATGCTTGATTGCTTCTTGTGCTTTGTCCACAGATGTGCTATTCCTTTGCAGTTTCCTTTAGCTGAGTTTTTTTAATTTTTCAACTACATTGTGACTCGTCCACAGAGGTGTGGGATTCTTACACTACTGCTGTGTATTACAAGTCACATTCACTGTTGGACTTCTTAATGAGAATGAAAACAGGGAGGGTGGTTTAGTTTTCTTCATAAAAATCCCACTAGGATATACTCTGAAAATCTGCAATTTTGGAAAAAAAACAAAACGACAACAGCAAACCCACAAAAAAATCCCACCTCCAAAAACGTGAAGCTAACAGGGAAAGTTTTGTATCCTGCAGCTCTTGTTATTTAGTAAAACTTCACCAGTATCTGAGTGACTTACAGCTAAATGGGACTGCGATACCCTATCTACTTATGTATTTTAAAACAAACCAACTAAGCAAGCTTTTTATTATTAATCTCAATAACAAAAGACAGGCAAAAATCCCCCAACCCTCCAAGCTGTTTATGAGGGCAAGATCCTACTCTCATGAGTTCAAAATACTGCAAAACAAAATACAGGATGAATAGAGTGAATATTTTAACATTATCTGTCTCTCTTCAAGCTCATTTTCAATCTCAGTGTTACCCTTCTTCTCATACTATATTACTATACACCACAATGCCATTACCCTTGTCTCAGGGAAGATAATGTTTATAATCTTCCTCTTCAAGTGAACCTTCCCACATTTATAGTTTCACATAGGAAAACCTTGCACAGGTGCATGACTCCACTTCTCAGTTAACTAGGGCTCATTCTCAGAGCAGTGAGGAAAGAGCCAAGTTTCTCCTGCTTTTTGGAGGAAGGCATTTTGTCTGCTCTGCAGTTTATAGAGTTAGGAGATATGAGGAAGAACACACCTTGGCCTACATGTCCATTTGAGAAAGGTGGTTTATGATGCCGACAAATTATTGTATCACCTCAGAAGATGACACTCTTCAGGGTGACCTGAGCAGACTTTCACGTTGTCTTACTGCAGCTGGGACCCTTTCGAAATGGAGACTTCTGGTCTGTCTGTGGCCATGGAGATCTTGGGCATTAGTTTCTTGTAGGTGTTTCAGAGTCTTCTCCCTTGCTCTAGTTGAAGCCAATGGGAAAACCCACATCAGTTGCAGTGGGAGTCAGCTTTGATGTGAACATGAGGCTCGTAATGAATCCTGTTTGCCAAAGAAAGATGCCTTGTCTGAAGTTGTCATATCTAACTCTATCCATTGTCTATAAACATAACTTATATATTATAGGAAATAACAAGCATAGCCTGGAAGGAATGATGTTCTGACACCTATGGCTTCTTATGCTAATTACACTGAAGAAAAATGGAAAAAATGCCCTTGAATGAAAGTAGAAGCTTTTCCTCAGATACAGTTGTGGAAGTCAACACATGTGCGTGTTATCTCTGAGAATTCAGCCAAGACTGTGCTGAAAGGCATTAAATAGAGGTCTTCCATTCAGCAAAGCTGTCCATCAGTGATCATGTATGCAGCTAGGTTTCTGGGAGGTTGTCATTCCAAAGCTTATTGTCGGGAGAAGGATGAGACAGAGCAACCAGTTTTCAGAAACTCTATATAGTAACCTTGGTAAAAGTTGCTTCAGGCAACAAAGCCACAGTCCTGTAGAGCTGTGGTTGGAACTGCATTTCCAGCAGGAAACATAAGAAGGTCTTCCACTGGGTTCAGGAAAATCTTGATCAGGACAGATGTGATCTGCTCTGAGTGCAGGCACTGGCTTGTTTTTTGCACTGTCTCTTGTATTTTGGGTTGCAGGACAAGTATCTTCTTCCAGGGCAGGTAGAGACATACTTTCTGTAACTAAGGACTGGCTGTGGTCAGAAAGGAATAGCACACTGACCTTTTACAAAATGAATTATGGATACTAGGTCAAGAATGGGGCTGCCACATGGTTTACTACGCTGGGGAAACCTGAAAAAAAGGGGCAGTTCCAGTGGTAGTTCAGTTGTATCATTCACTCTGAAGTGCAGCTATTAATTGCTCTGTAATAGTACTGTCCTTTTTCAGGTGGTCAGTAGAGGAGGACATTACATGTGCACGCTCACCTACATTTCTGTCCAATTGCATAACTAGTTGATTAGAGATAATGAATTTTAAATGTGGAGATGAGTAGAAAATGTTGTATTTAATAGAGATAAAATATATTGGGCTTTTAAGCATTTTTAAAATATTCCTTCCTTTTATTCTCCAGTACCATTTCCGACTCAACCGCCAACAACACCTTCAACACCACCTCCACCACCTACAATCCCTCCTGCAAAAGAAGGTAAGTGCTGCATGTGTGGGTTCGCAGTAATTTTAAGATGTTGATGCAGTGTTTTTCTGTTTCTGACACTCTTAGACCTATGGGGATCAGATTTCAAAATGCATTTGCTACAACAACACTGCACCTGACTTAAATTTAATGAGCCAAAAATCTGACATCATTACTGTATTGTTGAAATTTGCAGAAAGGAGGGTTAATATGTGTGAGATTTTCCAGAACTCCTAAACCATACATATTTTGCAAGTGAAGCAGATATCCTAGGGTAATTAAACTTCTAAACCAGCATGATTTTTAAAAATATATCTACTTTAGGTAATGTTCGGTCTCTCTTTAAATGAAGATTTTCTTCTATTTATCATTTGAACATGTAGTGTTTTGTACCGTCTGTTATATGGTATATATATACTATTATATACTACATATATAGTATATTATTGTGAGGGGAGCATTATTGTTGGAGACTGAGGGTCAAATCCATCAGCTTGAAGTTGGTGGACCAAACTGATGTACAGTAGTAGAGAATTTAATCCAAGGAGTACAGAAAAAAAACCACATTATGTGTGTGTGTTTTAGAACTGCATAGCAGCAGATTTGTTTTTTTTTAATTTAAGGAGTAATGAGTAGAAAACTAGAAATACAGGTATACATCTTCCTGTCCCATTCTCTGAATTTAGATGAACATTTTTCTTCAAGATGAAATGTGTTGAAAAAATAACTTTGAGACTGTTTGTTTCTGACCTCAAGCAATAAACTTAGATTCTGTAGAGCGCTGAATGTTCCCAGTTCCCATCAAAGAGTGAGCAACTCGTGTGGGCTGATGTACAGCTCTGCAGGCCATTCTACATAGGAACATGCTGGAATAAGATGAGATGGGGGAAACCTGCATTGCTTCTAAATAGTGCAGTTAAGGGTGTGAGCATTAGGCACTGCAGAGCTTAGAGTAACTTTTTGAATGGACTAGCTTCCCACTGGGAACCTCCACAGCCGAGATTATCTCATCTTGCTTATTATGTCATGCTAGGAGTCTGGGATTGTATAAATTCATGTATGACTTTACTTAACAACCTAAATAAAAATAAATAAAAATAAAAATGGTTAGCCAGATTTTAAAGAACTGCTGTGGCCTTGAAGTGTATTCTGTCAGTGCAGACCATTCACCCCTCGCAGAGCTCAGCTGGTTCTACACCTGCACTGAAGTGAGTGCCAGCAGGTCTGTTTGCTAAAGCATTAGTAACTAACATTAAACAAGAGCTTTTCATGACAGTTACATTTTCTTCAGTGATTTATGGATTTCATGAGGAGTTGAGGGATTGCTCTAATTCTAAAATACTTGCTTTTCTTTCTCAGTGTGCAAAGCAGCCAAAGCTGACCTAGCGTTCCTGGTGGATGGGTCATGGAGTATTGGAGATGACAATTTCAATAAAATAATTAGCTTTCTTTATAGCACTGTTGGAGCTTTGGATAAGATTGGTCCTGATGGTACACAGGTAATCAACATGTAGAGGGATGGAGGGAGCACGTACTTGACAGGATATTTTAGACTAGCACCAGGAGTGAAATGAATCAAAAATAATTGACATCATTTCACAGTTCTTTTGAAAATATAAACTGCTCTAGGACAGCACTTTTTTCAATATCTTCTTTTATACACACCATACGGTGAAATTCGTGATAGGAATTTTGCTAGCATGAAGGCCAAGTATCATTTCGGTCTCCTCTAAATCATTCTAATGAGATTTAATTTGTGTTAATGTTTTTGGTATTGGTACTCACTGTGGTGTTTATTTCTAAGTAAGCTAAAAATGGCATTGATAAGGAAAATTAAAAGTTCATTTATTTAAAATCACATATTCTACAGAGTCTACAGGGCTTGAAGTAAAATATAGTATTTACAATTGTTGTTCTATTTATGTATTTCTTTAAAGAGGTGCTTGAATCTGTTCCAGAAAAGATTATGGGCAACTATAATACTATTTAAAGTGTTACCTGTATAAAATGCAGTCTGGGATAGCATTGAAAATTATTATTAACTTGTTTAAACACTGAAGAATACTCAATTTTTACTATTTCTTGCTATACAACTATTTTCCCAGAATATAGTCCATGGTGCTTCAGAAACTTAGGCACAAGCTTAAGCTTAAGCATGTGAATTACTCCTTTTAAATCAGGGGCACCACTTATAGAGTATGAAGTTTATTATACATTTTGTAAGTTATAGGGGTTTAGTGTATAGTATTAAAATACAGGGTCTGGACTAACGTACCATCATATTTGGAAGAGGCAGTATTTCAGAATATATTCTTGCATCTGTCTATTACTTGCTTCAGTATTGCTCCCTAACTTAAGTTACTTATGTGCACATATTAATTTGTGGAAACTGAATAAAGTCCCTGCAGTTCTGTGTATGAGTAACTGTACACACGTGAGCAGCTGTAACTAAGATTTTGCTTTTGGGCTTGATTGAGACTGCTTTTGCCAAAGTGGGTATTACTTTTCTCATCCTGTTTGCTGCAAAGTGAAATCAGAAAGCGTTAGGTGGTTGCCAAGGCTGCAGAGAGTAAAATTAAACTTTATTTAGTGAAACCTTCTTAATGAGAAAAAAATATCTGGCGTCAATTTAAGGATGAAGCAAAGTTACAAGATAAATCCTTGTTTTAAATGCGCTGATTCACTTTTTGCTTATACTCTGGGTCGTGCTTTACTAATGAACACATTTTCTGTGTACACAGGTGGCAATAATTCAGTTCAGTGATGATCCCAGGACAGAATTTAAATTGAATGCATACAAAACAAAAGAGACACTTCTTGAAGCTATTCAGCAAATAGCTTACAAAGGAGGAAATACAAAAACAGGTGAGAAATGTCACGATTGTGATGCAGATTTTCTCCCTGCTACTCTCCCTGCAGTATTTCTTTCCTATTTCCTAAGTGGTTTAATATATCAGTGCAAAGACAGTTAGAACATGGTATCTCCACACTGGAGGTGAAAGGTTCGGCTTTGAAGTTAGAAAGTCTTTGTAATCTGCAGTTTACGCCCTTTACCCCCTACTGCTGGGTATTCACTCCTCTGACCAACAGTGAGGTCAAGGATCAGGGAGTGGGGGAAGAGAGGGAGCTAGACAGAGGTGAATGACTTTGGGGATTGTGGAAGGTGTGTACTGGTTTTGCGTGGCAAGGTTTTGGTAG